ATTATCGGGACTTTACAAACGCCTCATGACAAATGAGGTTACGTGAGGGGAACGATTCCAAACTTGGAAATTATCAATTTTCCCAGAATGAGTGAAATTATGAAAACTGTGTGTTTTCCCCATAAAATGCTGTTGTTTCTTCCGTTGCTGGAGTGTTCCTCCAAACCATTCCGATGTCAGGAATACATCAAGTGCTGTCGCCAAGAACCGAAGGTCGCGCTCTTTGGATCGGGGTGAAAGTCAAATGGAACTGGGGATCAAGCTTGGATGGGTACCCACCAGTGCCATCCAGTGCCTTCGTTTGTTGTTCTAAAAAAACGATTTTAGGAATGGAGCATTTTCCCAAATCCATGGAGTTATTTTGGCAGTGCCTGGAAATTGTTAGCTCTGTTAAGGACCATGTTGGGATCATATATTGGAAACGCTTTCGGGAGGGAAACAAACAGCCCAGATCAGGCATGAATTAGGCTGATTCTTTTGTGGCAACATGACACCACTTGATATGGCTGAATAAGGATGGGCCAATGGGGTCTGGCAGAGTCGGTAAATAGGGAAAGCAACATTTACTGGTTGGATTTGGTTTGTTTTTTTCCCTGAAGTTTCTTCAATGTCAAGTCTTTATAACGCTGGGCTGGATTTTGTTTGGGCATTGTGTTCAACAAGATTTGACGGCATCCCCTAAGTACCGGTACCATAGGACAACAGCTGGAATTTTACCGCATGATCGCATGATTCTTGAGATACATACAGATACACCCAAACCACCGTAGACCCACAACACGCATCCATATACAGTATATGATGTATAGCTGTTTTTTTGATATATTTGTAAAGATTCTTAAACAATATCTCAAGCACTGAGCTGTGGTGTTCATATATATAGTTGTGAGGATCTTTGGGGACAGCTGCTGTGATCTTCGCTTTTTGTGTTGGGACCGTCCCAGACACCGTGTCTCCAGGCCAAGCTCCAATTTCTCGTCCCACCGTCGAAAGCCTCTGTTTTGATGGTGTTTTTTTCAGTCCTGGTTTCCTGCTTTGATTTCTCCCTCTAGGGGTCAACAAAAATAGAACGAGTCTTTCCTACTATCAACATCTATAAATATAAACTATATATGTCCCAATATGTTGACATTTTTTGGGGGATTCCTTTATAGCTAAGCCAGCGGCGGCGTGAAATTAGGAGTCGGGCACAAAGCTTTCTCTCTGAGCAGCGACTTAGTCATGCGAGTGCGTTGACACCGCTTCGGTAACGCGCAGGGCCCTGGAGAGGCTGGAATCAAACATGGCAAGCCAGGAAATCCCCAGAGAATATATAAATTAGATTTTTCTTTAATGGGAAGACCTTTTGTAAATGGGGGGATTTTGCATTGCCATGTTTGATTCACGAGGGTATTTCTATTCAAAACTTGCAAGATCGGAATCTTGAAGTTGAACACCCATGGGGTTGTGCTTCTACTGGATGTTACTGGGTTCTGTTCAAGGCTGCGAACTTAGCTCATAAGATGAGGAAGCTCCAGGAAAAGCCAGCTTGGACAAATCGCCCAGAGAAAGATATTCTAGATCAGCTAAAGATGGAGAAGAAGATTTGAGATAACTTTGGCATTAGAATCAGATGGCCTCAACATTACTGGAACCATGTGATGCGGGCGATTGCACCTATTGGGCGAGGTTGCTCATTGCCATGACTTGTTGTTTCTGATGTGGTTGCGTTGCAATGATTTGCCCTGCACGTGTATATGATTTGTATATAATAATACACAATGGTATATCAGAGTATTTTGTTTCATTATATGCCATCAGATGCCATTATATACCATTATCAAACCATACATTGTGTTTACTCCTCGTTTTTTCACCTCCACAATGTAGCCTGTAGCCTGTGCTGCACAAAAACACAGCAGTTGGGATGCGAAAGGAATTGCCTGTTGCCAGACCCCTCAGACATCATGAATAAATGATGCGATTCCAAATGACTTTTGATTTATTTAAATACATTATATAAATGTATGCATATCAATGTATGCATATACATATATATATATATATCATTAATTTATATTTGCAGTATATATATATTATTATTATTTTATTATTATTACACATACATATTTACATACACCGGCAGACTCGGACTCCGAGATAGCGATGGAGAGATACATACACCATGTGTATCTATTTGTCCTCTGGCAATCAACCATGGCAATGGAAAATTGCTGATGAAAATGACGAGTTTTTCATGGGAAAGTCATCAAAGTCATCTATAATGGCAACCCCGGATTGATCAATAAACCATGGTTTATTAACTATTGGGAGGTATCGCCCCAAGAGTCATGATTTGATACTTAAATGGTACCTTCCCAACAGCCTAGCCTTGGGGTTTATTGATCCAGGGTTGACATTAAATGGATGATTTCCATTGCCATGTTTGACTTCGGGGATCCAAGCTGAAGGAGCTCGTCCCAGCGATCCTCCAGGTAGTTGCCCAAATGATCTGTCAGGCTGATGCATTATTCCAACTCTGTCAGACGTACTGTGTTTAAATATATGTACGTTTATTTATGTATGCATGTATGTTTACATATATAGATATATTATTAATAATTCATGGAGTCTTGTATTTGACTTTAGATCGCACACTTATATTTAGCAACCGCCAGCAACAATCTAGATTGTGTGACAAGGAGTATATGTGGATTGTCAAAGCAATCTATATGAAACTCTGTGGCCTGCCCTGCAACCGGAACGACGCATGCTTTTTCTTGTTTCAGGGTGCCAGGGATCCGAAACATGATTATAGTGTCGTAAACTCAAGAATGAACCACCATTTTTCGGGCAGTTTATTCCACCCAATTCTGGTGAATTAGAGTTTGGCATGTCATTGGGTTTGTCATGTTAAACATGTTGAGTTGTTGAGGGTTTTCATGAGGATTTGAAAGACAGCAATTACCGGGTGAGGTGGCTGGGCTATGTCAAGTATCAAAACGATGCATAGCGTCTGTAGAAGACAGCATGCCCAAATTGGGCTTTGTAAAGCTGCTTTCTGTGCTGGAGATAATCCACTGACCATACTCTCAAATGAAATACCTACACTGGGGGATGGACATCCGTTGGTGAGTAGGTAGGGATCATCAGCATAGGTGCATTTTGAGGAATCTTATATACGGAGTTTCCTAAAATAGGGGTACCCACTGGGTACCCCTAAATCATCCACGTTCATAGGATTTTCATTATAAACCATTTAGCTATTGGGTACCCCCATTTATGGAAACCCCCATGCGAATTGTCAGCAAAGGTATTGTCAGTGGCTTATTATTTTTTGTGGCACCTGTCACAGCCACCCCACAAGAACTGGGCCCCGACCAGATCCGGAAGTGTCATCGTATTTGCAGGTGAGAGTGGTAAGTCAAGTGGCTCTATTCTTAAGTGAATTTACTAGAATTTAGTGGTAAATCTGACAGCTGGAGTTGTTATAAGTTCTTTAAATGGAGCTGAACTGGGCCCAGGATCTGTGCTTTGCCATGTTTTGGAACTGCGATGTGTGGGTTGGAGTCGGGACACTGGAAGAGGAATTGGTCCCCTTTGCACTGGAACTTGTTGCAACTTTCTGGAAACTTTGAAATGGATGAGCTTTCAAATGGTTTATCAATGTTTATCACCGTATTTTTTGGGGGCAATAGCTATCTACAAGCTATTCAGGATCTATTCAGATGTTCACCAGTCTACCTGGCTTTTGAATCTTGAAGTGGCTGCAGAGAAGGGTCTGTCGGCCTGAAAAGAACAATAGCTTCACAAAGCGAAGCCCTGGAAGCCCAGAGTTGTGCCATTTTCGTTGCAGGCACCAGTGAACTCGACCCCCCAAGCTGGGTGCCTGGGTGCATCCCAAATCGGTGCATCCTTTGCCATCGGAAAATGGCACCTTTGCCAAGCTTGCCGCAGGTTGGCCGCAGGTTGTGAACAAGAGCTAGCAGCTGGTACCGGCTCTCCATGGTTGAAACATGTTGAAGCTATCCAGATCATCTTCAATGCATTCAACCAATGTTTAAAAACCAATGATTCAGCGATGGAGTCCATACCCCTTAAGGTTTAGCACCCGGATTCCCAAGTGTTCGATCCAACATCAAAAGCACTGCCATCAGTATATCCTGATTTCTCGTTGAGATTGGTCATTTTAGGCCAAATGGGGCTTTCTCACGAATCGAATATATCTTTATAAATAAAACACACACACACATATATATATATATACATATGCTACGGAATTTTGGGACACAAGCGCAAAGCATGCGTGGCAGGAAAGTATCAGCACAACTTCGGAGTAAAACGCACGAAAACAACAGGCGGACATTAGGGCCGCATCAACGGTTGCACGAGAACTATAACTAGAAGCAATGATGTGGGCTGCGTTTTTGTCTGAACATATGGTATCTCAAAATTTGATGGACCAACATTTTTAAAGTTCACAATTAATTTTGTCGTACATTGCATTTTCAACTAACCCCATGTTAGCGATATTAGCTCTCAAGAAGTCTGCCTTTGAGCTTCTCCTTGTGGCCGTGAAAAACCGCAACTGATAGTCCAGTCAGTTCAGTTACACACCGATATGGTTTTGTGCCCTCAAACCCATGGCTTAATCAACCTATTTCACAATGAAAATGGTCGTTTTGGTGATATGTGGGCATGTTCCATTTTCAGATTTCAGGCAAGCCCATATGTGCCGTCCAACGTTGCATTGTTTTCCCATTATAAACATTCTCAGTACGGGATGGATGACCCTAGGCCATGTAATATATATATATATACATAGTTTTCGACCCTAGCCCATATACATTTCCCTAATCAAAAGTGGCAATGAAACACCTCCATATTTAGATTTTACAGATGTTTTATAGTGGATTTCCCGCCACATTTGATTAATGGTAGTCACCACCCGCACCAGTGCTTCACTGCCAGAGAGACCCCCGTGCAAACAGTGACCAAAATATGCCAAGATCTGTAGAAAATGTGTTATCTTAATGATTATTGATTATTGTGTTCCTAATCATGTTCATTGAAACGTAGTTAAACCCAATGCATTTGGCGTCATTTGGATGGCTTGAAATTATCCCTTTCCACTTGGTCAAGTGTTTCCGTACCTGGAACTGCCACGATTCTCCGAATTTCTGGAAGGTTTTGGGACGATCTCAGCGTTCTGATGATCTCCAGTCATGATCGAGACTTCAGCTGGATCGTTGGGAATATCTGAAACATCTTTAGGCCTAGGCTACTCTTTAAATCACCAGAACGGTATATAATCCTATAAATCGAAAGTGAATGTTTAAGTCCTAGCTCTGGGGTAGAACATAGATGAACATCAGGTCAGGACAAATCACGATATGTGAAAAGATTTCCCTGATCGTGATTTGTTGTTCTGTTGGGTGGTTATTTTAGCCAGCTCTTTAATACATGTTTAGTATCTAAGATAGGCAATGTACAATATACATATATATATTTTTTGTTATCTGTATGTATATGTATATATGTGTGTCAATATATATATATATGTATATATATATATATGCGTGGCATGTGGTTATTTGTATATATATATATATATGTGCATATATTTATATATATATAGACATACATGATGAGATAGATAATAACAATTAAGAAATAAATAAACAATAATACTATTATTGCTAATAATAGACATTTTTGCAGATGATATACTGATGCTCTCTGGTTCGGCTGACGAGTGGTCAGAGATCAGATTCCTGCATCTCAATCAACACTCGGCAAAGACCTCGGGGTTCAGACCTGATATCAATGGGGATATCCCCTTACATAGCATAGGCCTTATATAGGCCTTATACAGTATATGGTAGGTACCTCCAATTTAGGTTCCTGAAATGGCCATTGATGATACCTTTTGAAATTTAAGTTTCCAAACTTCCACAGGCTACCTGTAGCCACGCCTGTAATTCTCCAGATGTTTTAATTTCACAGACAACTCGCGAGTTGCTTCAAGAATAATCAGGAATAAAGAACGCACACACAAACACACACACAAGGAATAGTTTTCCAGATGTTTCCAGAATTTCATGGTTCCCATGGTTGTTTTCCCATGTTTTCCCATGTTTTCCCATGTTTTCCAACGACTTCATGACTTTCCAGCCATGACGCCATGGAGCTGACCCATTCCAACCCTCAGCTGGTGCCGCAAGAACGGGGCTTAGAGCTGCTGACGGGGACGCCCTTCCACCGTGCGGCATCCCGGGGATGACCTGCTGCCTGGGAGTTGAACAAGAACATGCAAAAAATGAGAAAAAACAAGTGTCGGAAGCTTTGGAAGATGATTTCATAGACATATATAGACATAGAATTTGTGTACATGTGTGTTTTGCGGGGAATCTGTTGTGTGCTTGTTGGAGCCCGTTTGTGTGTGTGTGAGTGTCAGGAATTTCAAGCACCAATCGGTTGCATGCAGAATCAATCCAAGCATAACTCTGTGTTGATGCCACAACCTGACGGCAAATTGTGACCTGGGCTTGCAGTGTGTACACAGGTGTAATCGCAGATATAGTGAACAAATACATGCATTTTTGAGAAAACCACATTTGTTGTACAGTCGGTATTGTTGTTTCTTCTGCAGAAGCCCGTTGACAAATTCTGTATCATACATGCATGAGTTCGATTTGCAAGTTGTAACGGTCGCACGTATCATATTACAAGATAGACAGATACAAGAATAACATACTGAATGTGTACTTCATATGTATATGCAACATTGAGAAACCATATGGAGGTTTCCTGAAATCGGGGTACCTCGGGTACCTCCAAATCATCCATTTATAGATGGATTTTCCATGATTTCCCACTGTAAACCATCTATTTTTGGGTACCCCCCATTTTGGGAAACCTCCATATGCAGCTGGTGCCGCTGAAAGTCCCAGGATTTCTGCGCGGATTTCAAGAAGGCCAGGCCAAATTCCCACCAGCGCCATACACTTTCTTTTCTGATCCTTATAATAATTATATATATATATACATTTTTTTGATTTACTGTATATATAGCATGTATGTAACTGTATGTATGTATGTATGTATGTATATATATATATATCCCAAGTGGGCGGACGTTCCCCCCAAAGTTTACTTGGAAGCCAGTTTAGTATAGGGTTTATTTGGGGTTGTTCGGGTTTACTTGGGGTTGGTGTAGGGTTCACATAGTACGGCGCGAAAAACTCCAAATTGAAGAATATGTTTAAGACTTTTAAGACATTTTAAGACATGTGATTTCGGCGCAACCTTACGCAAACGCAAACATGCAACAAAACACAAACAATATCAATATTTTGCTTGTTCGCAGTTTGCCAAAACCATGCGCCAAAACAACACATTTATGTTTATTTATTTTAAATTTTTATAGATGTGATAAATTTTATAACATGCTGTTGAGGATATACACTATACATGTCTATAGATTTTATAGATGCCTGCAATGTCATGTCCAGAAATATTGGCTTTACATTGCTCCACGTTTACAGACAGTCACTATTTTATTTAAGTCATTTTTTGTGCACACTGTGCACGGCGAACTTTGATAAATAGCTGGCCATGGCTGGCCATTTTTTTCCTGGTCACATGTGCCATGGTCACAAGTTTGATGTCGCGACGGGGGATGGCCATCCCCCAATTTTCATATGCGGTTTAATATGCCCATGATATTTGGAATCCCATTCAATGACGGTGCGATGACCATAGTCCAATAAAAAACGACACCCATTCAACGACATCGGCCGTCAGGTGTGTTCCAAGAGGAGGTTGATGACTTTGTCAAAGAACACGCCAGCGAATTTGCCGTTCTGTGCATGGATGGTGCCCGATGAATCCTGGTGTGGGTTGGGAACGTCCAGACAATGGCTCTGAAGTGGTCTGGTAAAACAAAAATCGGGTGATACTTGGGTAAACAGGGTGGGTACACCGGCCATGTCATGCCAGAGTAATACATATTCAAAAAAAAAACAGATGATGAAACCTCCAATTGCGCATGAAACTGTGGATGTCCAGGTTCCTATCCCGTGCACTGGAACCAGCTACATCAGGAATACAAGGTGCCCCGGGGACAGCATCTTGGAACAGCTTGGGAGCTCCAAAATTGAGAGGGTCGGTTGAATTGAACCCCAGAATATCCAGAATGTTTTCAAGAAAACCAGGTTGGTAACTACTGTATTCAGATTTATAAAATGCAGGTGTGTTTGATTTTTGAGGCTCTCATTCAGAAATAGACCTCACAAATCTCATGTTTGGTGATTCAATTTCCCAACAGATCCAAAAACCACATTGATGTCACCTGTGTGGGTAATCATTCAACCCTCCTAATCATAGATGGTTAAGATTTGCCCTTATTGTTTTGGCTGGTGATAAACGAGCCCAAAACATTAACCCAAGTATTGTTGGGGTGTTCGTATTCGGGTCGACTGAATCTTGATCTTCCCAATCATCTCATATCAAGCATCCCAAACATTCCAGATTTCAATCATTTTTTTATTGTCTCAATCAACCTAATTATCCTGAAGATATCTGAAGTTCCTAAACATCACAGTCGTATGGATGATTTGTAGCTGAAAGATGCTGAAAACGCTTTGGGTATCCCAGAAGTTCAAACAGCGCGTCAAGAGCTGTTTGATCGCCAGCTGGAGGCCATCCTTTGGTTTCAAGACAGCAGCTTGGGCCGCCTCAATGGTGTTGCGAGAAACCGTTGAACCTCAGAAGAATGAGGACTTCATTAGAAATAGCGTGTTTTTTCCTTATTTTTCTGGATATACAAGTGGTAGCGAATGGTAGCGACTGAGAATGACACAACTCATGACCTGAAATGTTTTGCCTTGTTTGTCGAAATGAGTGATCAAAGCAATCAGCATTGGGATGACAAAGTATCAACAAGAATGGCTTCCTCCATTCATGGATAGGGAAGTCACTTTAGAGATCTTTAGGGTATGATTTTTGGAATCTCGATACTTAGTGGGTGTTGCGCTCAATCACATCTTTCATGTAATCCAACCTGGCAATGAACAATCCTCAGTTTGCGGATCGTTTAAATGGTAAAACTCGCAACTTCCAAAAACCCTATTTTAGAATATGTTAGAATACCAACGGCTAGGTTTTTTTTCGAGTGTTTCTGGGATGATGATCCCAGCTTTAAAGGGGTGGCAGCCAGCAAGCACCAACCGACCTTTAGTCAATGGGAATTTCAGGATCCTGAAATGGAGGTACTGTACCATATAAGGCCATATTTTGTGGGGATATTCCCTGACATAGGCCTTACATAGGCCTTATATATGGTAGGTACCTCCAATATAGGTCCCTGAAATGGCCATTGATTTAGGTGACAAAGACCAGTTCCTGGAGATGTGTCATGCCATGGTCCGCGCCTGTGACAGCTTGCCGGAGGACCTGCCCGGTCAAGGAACATGGTGAGTCAAAACCCTCCATTTCTCCATTTCAGTCTGCGGCAACTGCTCAGAGGGTCGGAGTCAGTTGCTCTGTGAGTCAAAACCCTGCTACCTGGATGGTACCCTAAAATAGATGGTTACTGGATTATTCTTCCCCCAGATATGGTGAGAATAGGTTTTGACCCATCTCCTGATGGGAAGAGCTCAAATGGATGGGGAGGTTGTTGGCAAGCAAGAAAGGTGAACATCGGCATCCAAAGCCTACAATGACTATATAATCATCCGAATTAATCCCATCCCCCACTATGAATCCCATAAACCATGATTTGGTAAAGTAGGGGGATGAAATCACTGAAGTCACATATTTGGGACTACGTGTATAAGGGTTGTAACTAATATGAACGAGGAATGGGATTAAGTAGGGTGTATGGTCATTATTGTCATAGTTAGATGGGGGCTATAAACAATATATGTCATAATGTGTCACCCATTTATAGATGGAAAAAAACATCCAATCCCTATATCTCCTGCATCCAGAAACCATTCTGCCCCAGGATGCATTTCTTCCAGTGCCGCCCAGCGAATTCTCAGGCGTTGATGGGGAAATGAGGGAAAAAGTGGGCTTATCCAGCGAGAATGTGCAAATTTGAGTAGATCTTTATCGTTTATCAACGATGAGTTGGAACCAACCAACCAGAAGCCTTGCCAGCAGCCATAGGCGGAATTCAATGAGTGATTTGTGGCATTTATGGATCAAACTTGAGGCTCAATCAGGTCAATCCCATGAAATTCAGAAATCACCATTGGATTGTTGCTTATATAGATCGCCATTCCCCATTTTCGGAGCACCTTAAATCCCATGAAGAATCCCGAAGATAAGGATCCCATGAAAGCACCAGACTTGTAGCTGGTTTTATACCCGACTTCAGATCAGTGTTATCATACATGAGTTACTCATATTAAAATCCATTAAGTAACCAGCCGTATTGATTATGTGTGATATCATGTTAGTTATGTCCCATTGGTGACCATTTTGATATCCCCACATTTCCAGGTTGTTAAATCCTCAAATAACCAGCCCCTGCCGTCACTGACTCTACTCCAGGTATGACGGTGGGAGCCTTTCATCACTTCATGTCGCTGATTTGCGTTTTAGCCATGACAAGGATTTCTGGGATTTTAGCCATGGAAATGGAAACCATGGGAAAACCATGGGGAAATTACGGAAAACCGTGGGCAACTTATTTATGTTCATTGGGGCAGAAGTAGCAAACCTAACCTAATTCATTGAAACATATTGAAAGAAAGTTTGGACTTTTTCGATGTTTGTATCATGGCTGTCCACATAGCTTTGAGGTCCGCACTGACAGCCTCCGAAGAATTTGAAGCTTTTCTGCAGGCAGTCCTTCCGTTGTTTTTTCTGGTTGCTGGTTGGGCTTTAAGCATTTTTGAGCATCATCAACCACGGCTACGGCAATTGCTACGGCTAAAGCATATGTTCATGATTAACCCATCCACTCTTTCAACATGAGCCAAACCCTTATGTTGGTTTGGTGACCTTTCACGTTTAGCTTGGTGGTATATCACTATGAGGTTTCCAAAGGCACCAAGCCATACGTCACAGCTATTGGCTCATGCTGTTGCCAACAGCCACAAAAGGATCACTTAAAAGGGTCACAAGGCCAAACATATTCACTTTCAATCGTTATTTGTATGGATAAGACTCTAAGACAGTGCGGTAAGCTCAATGAATACCCATCCCCCGGGGTTTATATATATATATTATATATATATATATATAAATAAATATGTATGTATAAATAACTCTCCAAAATTGGTTTATCATGGGGTCTTGCCACGTTACATAGAACCCAGACTAGGACTCAAGAATGCAAGCCCGCTTGCCGTCGTTGACTGGCTGCTGGGGACGACGTGCAGGTCATGTGTGCGGCTGCCACCGGGATGCTGCAACCGACTGTGCTGCCGACATGTCGTCGCCGTAGTATGCCCCAATAGAATCTCTAGCACTCTAGCGGAACAACCATGTTATGTGAGATAAAAGCATGTTCGCACCTATAAGAACTTGCATCCAACATGTTTGTTTGAGTTGGGGAATGTGCAGGCGGCATATATTATATTATTTGTTGCAGATAGATATATCACGTATATATTGTTCAATATTGTATGCTCGTATAATATGTATAATCCACGATGGCCGTATGTCCATCCCAGATTCATTGCCGGGTTATTTCTGGTCATACCTTTGCCTCCAAGTCATGGCTGCCATAGATGCATCGTCATGTTTGCATGTTGTGTCCTTGAAATCCATTGTGTCATGTGCTTTGGTGCCATTGAGGAGTTACTGCATGGTGTCAAACACCATCAAACCATTATATAATACAACAAAGGGATTAGCTTCCAGCTCAAGCTTCACAAGAATTCTGGTTTAGATCAGGTGACATCCTCCAGTAAACCCAGTAAACTTACATGGCGATGGCATAGATGGCCCATTTAGTTCGATGATTTACCGACCGGTTAAAAATGATGATTTTCCGAACTGATGTGTTCAGGTTGGTGTTTCCTTTCAGCTTCTCGAGCAGGGCTGACCGGTACAGTTGATGGTCTGTTTTTGACCAGGGGTTTCATTTTTCATTTTATCCCAGAATTTAAGCCCAGCTTCTTCTTCAACCTCAAACTGTTACAGTAGATTGATATCAGATGTGTTGAGATGGAAGGCATGCTGAGAGAGATCGCAGGACGCGATGTCTCCAAGGGCATGAAACCCAAAGTGGTTCGGTCTCAGGGAAATGTGGTAGGAAGAAAGACCTGAGCCAATAAATATACTATAAGTGTAATGGGATCTCTTCCAATATGGATTCACCCTGCGATGTGAATCCGAGCTACCAACTGGACAGGAAATCATCAACAACTGTGATCCATGGTGATCCCAAATATAACTCGTATACTACATGGTTATGACCCGGGTAATAGATGGGATGCTCCCAGATGCAACGGGATGAACCAGTGGCTCTGGGGATGGCATTGCCAGGTCTTGTTGTCAGCGTCTACGGAAGTGCTGACGCCCTCAGGCGCCATCAGAAAGTTGGGATTTGGGGCCATCGCACTGGACACATGGTGATGTTGGATGTTGGTGGTTCCATGATGTTTCAAGCATGTTTTGTCCTCATCCCTACAAATGTGAGGATGATTAGATGGTCCCAAGGGATAGTTTTTGGGTTTCTCAGGGGGTTGAACCACAGACCAAGCAGATTTGTGGCAATATGCCGCATTTCATTGGGCACAGCCAAGGCCAAATACCCTCAAGCAATTGATTTTGAACGTTACCTGACACGAAGTCACACGGAGAGTGCTTTGGATGCGCCGGCCGCTCCGTAAGTTCTCAAAACACGCACAATGTAAGGACCTTCACGTACTGTATTGGACAAAAATCATTCGGTGTATTTCAAACCAGCATATTTAGACATATATGTTTATCGGGTGGCAGGGTAGTCAAGAAGCCAGCCAGTAGTCATGTTGGAGACCCACTTGAAGGGTCTACAGAATGATGTGAAGATGCGATCGGGTTGCCAGAAATCCATACCATCCCATGTGCCAAATATTTGCCTAGTTCTTTTGGATCACTGATCATGTAAATGAACAATACATGGATGTTATGCATAATGGAGGGGTTGCCAAGATATCATAGCAAAACATTCAGATAATACCTTCCCCGGCATACAAGATCCCCGCCAATCAAGGAAACAAACACCGGGTGCCGGCCCATTTGGAGTAAAATCTCCCAGAACTGGGTGAAGCGAACAGGAAACCCCAAAAAATCCGGCTGTCCTTTGGTCCTTTGGACATCCAGGAAATCATTCCGAATATGCGCATTGATTATTGGGTTCCGCGGAAGCCCATCAATTTTTGCCGAATCAAGATGTTCCATGATTTTCTACAGTTCAATCAACATGACAAGTGCTAAAAACCACCAGATGTTACATGTTTTCATATGTTTTCATTTATGTTCATGGTTTAAAAGCCATAAATTCTGCCAACAGGTTCCTCGGCGGGTGCGGGTGCCCTGGGTGCCCCCGCCCCGGTCTCCTGGCCCCGGCCAGCGCTTGATCGTGAGCAGGGCTACCAGGCGGGAGCGGTTTAAAAACATCAAGGTGGCGTCATGAAATGCTAAATTACATTGTCATGCATTATGCTATTGATAGATATTTATAGCATAAATTTCCCATGTATTACTGTATGTACATTGTATTGTTATTCAAATCTATATCTATATAGCAAATTATGTATATAATACTTCCCAAAAAAGGGAGAAAAAGGAGAACACAAGTAACTTACCACCATTTTAGTGAGGCTGTTGGTTTTCTATCATGTTCTATCGGTTTGCGGGGTACTACGTTATATCCAGACCGTGGGATATTAGGTGATGGTATAATGATTTTAGATATTTAGCCAAATATGGGGATACAATCGTGATATAACGAATGTTGATGATGAATAGCCATTGAATAGCCAACCATTTCCATGATAATTAATAAGGATTGTATAGCATATAGTATTATATCACCATATTGGGGATTTAGATCAACACTGGTGATAGAAAGGTGACATAACGATTATGAACAATGATCGAAGGAAGTTTGGAAGTCAAACTTCGGACAATATGGACAGATGGAAAAGCAGTACTACTACTAGCTACTACTACTACTACTGCTACTACTACTACTACTACTGCTACTACTACTACTAGCTACTAGCTACTACTAGCTACTACTAGCTACTACTAGCTACTACTACTACTAGCTACTACTAGCTACTAGCTACTACTAGCTACTACTAGCTACTACTAGCTACTACTAGCTACTACTAGCTACTACTAGCTACTACTCGCTACTACTGGCTACTACTGGCTACTACTAGCTACTACTAGCTACTACTAGCTACTACTAGCTACTACTAGCTACTACTAGCTACTACTAGCTACTACTAGCTACTACTAGCTACTACTAGCTACTACTAACTACTAGCTACTACTAGCTACTACTAGCTACTACTAGCTACTACTAGCTACTACTAACTACTAGCTGCTACTAGCTGCTACTAGCTGCTACTAGCTGCTACTACTACGACTACTACGACGACTACTAGTACTACGACGACGACGACGACTACTACTACTTCTACTACTACTACTACTACTACTCCTTGTACTACTACTACTACTACTACTTTTATTACTACTACTACTACTTTTACTACTACTACTACTTTTACTACTACTACTACTTTTACTACTACTACTACTTTTACTACTACTACTACTTTTACTACTACTACTACTTTTACTACTACTACTACTACTACTTCTACTACTTTTACTACTACTACTACTTTTACTACTACTACTACTACTACTTCTGCTACTACTACTACTACTACTGCTAGCTAGCTAGCTAGCTAGAGCTAGCTAGCTAGCTAGCTAGCTACGAGCTACGAGCTACGAGCTACTACGAGCTACTACGAGCTACTACGAGCCACTACGAGCTACTACGAGCTACTAGCTACTACTCGCTACTACTAGTAGTAGCTACTACTAGCTACTACTAGCTACTACTAGCTACTACTAGCTACTACTAGCTACTACTAGCTACTACTACTACTACTACGACGACGACGACGACTACTACTACTACTACTTCTACTACTACTACTACTTCTACTACTACTACTACTACTTCTACTTCTACTACTACTACTACTGCTACTACTACTAGCTACTTGCTACTTGCTACTTGCTACTTGCTACTTGCTACTTGCTACTGTTACTGCTACTTCTACTGCTACTAGAAGTCTCGGAGAATAGCTTTGTTTTTTGATTTTGCCAACTTCAAAACTTGAGAAAGTTTCTCGTTTTGATGTTGTCATCTTCTAAAACTGAGTAAGCCTCGCAGAATTGCATCCTTTTTGACGTTATCAAGTTCAAAAGTTGAGAAAGTCTCGCAGAATTGCTTCGTTTTCAAGCTTGCAGATAGATAGATAGATAGATAGGTAGATAGATAGAAAGACAGACAGACAGCTACAACTACAACTACCACTGCCAGTACAACTACAACTACAACTACAACGCTAACTGCGACTGGTGCTACAACAAGTTGTTACAACAACAGCAAAAAGAACTAATGTTCCTACTACTACTACTACTGCTGCTGCTGCTGCTGCTTCTACTAGTACTGCTGCTATTGCTGCTGCTACTATTACTACTACTGCTACTGCTACTGCTACTTCTACTTCTACCACTACTACCACTATTACCACTACTACCACTACTTCCACTACTACCACTACTACCACTACTACCACTACTACCACTACTACCACTACTACCACTACTACCACTACTACCACTACTACCACTACTACCACCACTACCACTACTACCACTACTACCACTACTACCACTACTACCACTACTACCACTACTACCACTACCACCACAACAACAACAACAACAACAACTACTACTACTACTACTACTACTACTACTACTACTACTACCCCTACCACTACCACCACTACCACTACCACTACTACTACTACTACTACTACTACTACTACTACTACTACTACTACTACACCACTACCACCACTACCACGACACTACACTACACTAATTACACTACACTACGCTACACTACAACTACAGCTACAACTACACGACACTACATTGCAACTACAGCTTTACTACTTCACACACGCTACACTAGACTACGCTAGACATTTCTACACTAGAGTGCGCAACACGATACTACAGTACGCTACACTACATTACACTACACCACTTTACGACTACAACTACAACTACAACTACACTACACTAATCACACCACACTACAACTACAACTCCACGACACTACAACTACAAATACAACTGCACTACACCGCACCACACAACATCCAGCAGTTGTGGGTGAGGTGACCACTGCAACCATTGCAACCACTCCAAAAAACACAACTCCAACTACCTTCCGGTCCATCAGTGGATTCGCTCTGCCATCCATGATTCACAACAACCAACCTCTCCTATAGGTTTCCTATTTTTGACACTTCCGCCACCGCCTTGTGCGGCACTACTGGCATACAGTGAATAATAACCAACCACAGCGAAAAATAATGATGCATACAGATGGAATGATTATGCATCATTATCGACTAGTATCCAACATATCAGCAACAGGGAAATAATGGCGGTATACTGGTGTGTCATATTAAACATGGCTGGATGTGAAGTCCCAGAAGTAAATGCGCATTGCATGGGAAATTCATCGAAGAAAATGAGGGATTTTCCAGCTAGCCAGGTTTTATTGTCAGAGGGTACCCGGGGCTATAGTTTCTTCATGCCTTGAGAACTAAGTGGAGTTACTTGAGCGAACTAGTCGCTGATAGCCGAACTGAAACTAGTTAGAACTAGGTTTATAGATATTTAAAATAATGATATGGAACCTTAATCCAAAGAGAACCGGGATTTATATAACCAAATCACGGGGGTTTGTAAACTCAAGGTGATTGACCACGTGGGGCAAGGATTTGGAAACTGAAATTGTTTTTAAATGTTTTTAATAGCTGAGGATTGGACGATTGGACGGTAGGGTCCGGTTGAAATTAAACACAATGCGCCATTTTTTCGATACCGAATCATGCTTTTGAAACTGGTTCCCAACTTCCATGTTTGCACTTTCAGACTCCACTTCACGTGATGCTAAGCGGGTTGAGCTCGCAGGTTTCGTCAGGTTTTGGATGCAACGACATACTCCCTCTGGGCCGAACTACGCCAGAAACACATTGTTTGTTTTAGAATGTTTGTTTCCAACAATCAGAATCATAGCCCGTTGCTAGTTGGCCCCAGCAAAAGACCTTCAAATTTTAAAGCAGGTTGTTTTCTTAAGAAAATATTTTCGTTAAGCGGGGGTTGCGATCCATTATCCCTTCCTTGTTTCGTTTTTTATTTTTTTTTGCTGCTCCTCTCAGGCCGGTTCGACTTTCCCTGCGACCGTCTACCTCCCTACCTGATGTACGAGACAGCCCGTCACAGCCCGCAGCCGCCGCGCTGCCTGCGGCTTGTCGACTCGGCCGACACCACCGATTCAGCTGGAAAAGTCCTCGAGGACTCAGCAGAATGCGGCGGTAGGACTCAGCAGCATGCGGCGGTGAAAAAGAGGTGATTGCAGCCCATCGAGACTTTTGTTTTGCCGACACATGCTTTGCAAAGAGATGTTATATATAGTGTTATATAAGTATATATATATGTATATATGTATATAAGTTGGAAAATCCACGGTTTTGCCTTGTGGAAGTCCCCAGAAAAGTGGTGGTCAAGGGGGTTCATAGCAACACAGGCCATTATGATTGCAATGGGTCATGTCGCACTGTGTCCATTTCAACCACCCCTTTGAGCACCAAGGCCAATTGCAAGCGCTGGATGTTTCTGAGAGATGGTAGTCTAGACTTTATAGATGGTTTGTATACTTATATATTTGCATCGTACAACCGAAGTGAACTTACCAAATTATTCGGGGTTGGACCTGTTTGCAAAGTGTCTTGGCTAAGGGCAGGTAAACTCACTATATTATAATTATTGTATGTTTGTCTATAGAAGTCTCACTGGATGTGATGCCGTCAATTTGAAGTGCGCATGACATCAAAAAGGACCAGCAGGGTGGGTCGACGGAGGCCCCTGATCGCGGAGTCTTTGCCTACCATCCATTGCACATTTTTATTATACAAATGTGTATGTTGTTTTTTTAATATATGATACATATATACATGATTTGCAAGCATGTTTTAACCTGCATTGACCTGTTCAATGTAGAGGTAGACCACTAGTGCCCCAAACTATATAGACCTTGTCAGGTGGTGATTTGATGTGTATATATATATTGTAAATAAATATGTCTATTGTTTGTATAAATCATATAATTATATATTTATATATGTGTGTTTATATGTGTATATACTAGTACTGATGCAAACAAATGGTTAATACGGGTCGTGTATTTTATTGTAATATAATGTATTGATATTGTTTTACATGCACATACCATACCTTATAATTATTCTATATATTTTGCGTTACATATCATTATAATTACATATAAAGATATTTATCATCTATATGTAGGCATTTATATAAACATATGTGTAAATGTAGGTGTGCATATGTTTTTCCAGAACGTTTCACAATTGCCTCGGCAAGATTTCATGAAGCTGATACACCCTACCTAGAACGTTTAAAATACACAGAACCCAGAAATCGTGTTGGTGAGAGGGTCCCAGGTTGCAACTTGCAGGTCTAAGCGCTTCAGGCTGTCAGATAGGTGGTCCTATTTGCTCAGAGAATCTACTCACTTCCAATTTGATTTCTTTTATTGACATACATGGTTAGTAGGGGAAACGATCGGGAAATCATCCTCAAATGGCCTTATTTCAGGTTTGTGAATTATGACAAGTTGCCCAGGTGTTGCCACTGCCAAGTGTGATATATACAAATAAGAAACCATGTAGTGAATATTATCGTTCACAGAGGGCTATGGAAGCTACAAATCCAGGGCTTGGTTGCGACAAACTCGCTACCCTATAAATGCTGCCCTATATATATGTAATATCATAATGGATATCAATGGATAGTATGATGATTCTTTAAGATACATTGGGTGCTGATATGGGTGTGTCTGAAAATGTGGGGTGTGCCTCCAAATGATCAAACATAGGATTCTTGGTCCCAAAAATTAAAACATATATGACACATCCTTGCGTACGTGTCATAAGCAAATACATGTCCCCCCTGCCATGTACTTGATAACCGTTTTGCCCATGGTGTAACAATAGCCATTTAGGGCTACCTGGTCAACGAATGGTGGAGATCCTTGAGCTGTGGTGCGCATGCCCATTCAGAAATAAGATGAACCTTGCTGCATATTGTGTTGATTAGCATTCAAATGATACTTAATAGAGCGAATTATCCTGCAATGATTCGTTTCAAGTCGGTGAACTAGTAATTACTCCTTAATTAGTAATTGGTCTTTAAATTCAGCCAGATATGCTGTGCAACATTTGAACATACAAAGTTCATTGGAATTGAATTGGTATTACTCCCTGTACATGTTATTAGGAGTATTTCAAAACGACTTTGAACTGACCCATCTCTGAGGGTGGCCTCTCCATCCATCAGCGCTACATTGGTGGTCTATGTGGCGCTCCCTTCGGATGTCGTGGCAGCCCAATGATCAGAGGCGGAGATTTCACCACCAAATAATATTTCCCTATTTGTTGTAGCAAGGACTCTAGGATAGTATAGTTACAACATGTTACAACTGAAGTCATCAATAACATCAATATGGAGAAGATTTGGCTGGTGGTCTTAACCTAATGTTACCTGTTTTTTTTGGGTATCCCAGGAGTGCCCGTTTGAGATGTGCAGACACCGCTGAGAAGAGGCACCAGTAGGAAGTCCATCTCTTGAAGTGTTTGACAGGCTCATACCATTGAGAAGGAACCGGATTTGCGTACAATCCTCTGAATTCTTTGTGATATGCTCTTATATCTTCATATAAACATATAGCCTATGCTGCCTGGGATGATAGTCCTAACCAACTCTCATCGTTGGCCTTTTTTCCCTCCATAGGGCTGAAAGCGCCAATCGGGTCATGGATATACAGTGCTAGTTCATGCACTGGTGCATATGGCATTTGACATCATCACAGAAAAGGAATGTAGTATGATTTTGTTGTTCACATTGTTGATTTGTTTTTTGTTGGACCCCTCGTAGTTGCAGGCGGCGAAAGCGGTTCCATCCCAAGCATGTATCTCTTTAAGCAATCGCACTCTTTTCTGCGAGCCAAGACAATGAGACCCCCAAAGGTGGCAGACTTCAGTCCTATCATTTCTCATGGTTTTTTGTGACAGCCTTTAGGCTCAAGACGTCTGAAACCAGGTCCGCTTGAACGGTGCTTGTATCCCCTTGGATCCTGGTCCCAAATATGTTTTCAGCAAATCCAGCTGCGGCCACCCTCTCGGTTCATACATGTTTGGCCAGGCCGGAAAAAAGGATCCAAAAGGCCAAAAGGAACAGAATTCATGCCCTTAAGAGATTCAGGCTCAACAAGTGCCGAAGCAAAACCATGATTTGAATTCATTTGATAGAATTTGGATATGTCACAAAAGTACGCAGCCCAGGGATCCCCAGCAAAACCCCGGCGTCAACCATAGTTTTTCCATCGTTTTCCACATGGATTTTTCTGAACATAGAGTACTCCCAAATCCAATGGTTTCTCATGGTTTCTCATCAGTTTCCCTTTTATTTCACGGCCAGTTGGGGACATACACTATTTTCAAACACATGTACTATCAAATTCAGAGATATCCACTATTTGGGGATATACATCTTTACAATTCGGTATCCCATTAAACATCATTAAACCCTATTAGATCCCTAATGTTGATGGTTAAATAAGTTAAATACCCAAAATAGTTGGTTCTTCGTTAATCATGTCCATGTTGTTTTTTTCCCATTCCGATGGTCATTCCCTCCGACTCGACTTCCAAGGATCCGTCGCTTCGTCGAGATCTCTTGGGGTCCAATGCCGGCACCGCCACTGGGAGAAGAAGAGTTGGATGCAGAGGCGGGTCGCAGAGCCTCGGTATAGCAGAAAATCTGTTGAACATCATAGAAATGCAGATGGTTTTGGTATGTTTCGATTAGTATATGTTATATAGTAAATCTACATGTGTGTGTATGTGTTCGTATTGATTGTCATACATACATGCCATACCAAACCAAACCTTGGACCAAACCAAACCAAACCACCTCTTACCATACCATACATACCATACATACCATACAAACCATACATGCCATACATACATACATACATACATAACATACCATAACATAACATTACATTACACTACATTACACTACATTACATCACATTACCTCAACACATACATACCTACCTACATACATACATACATACATCCATCCATACATACTTACTTACATACACATATATACATTACAGTACATTACATTACATTTCATTACATTGCATGACATTACATGCATTACATGCATGCATACATACATACATACATACATACATACCTATCTACCTACCTACATACATAACATAACATTAAATTACATTTCATTACCTTACAGTACGTTACATTACCTTACATTACATTGCATGACATTACATACATTACATACATGCAAACATACATACATACCTATCTACCTACCTACATACATACATAACATAACATTACATTACATGTTATTTCATTACATTACATACATAACATACATACATACATATATGCATGCATACATGCATACATTCCATTACATTCCATTACATTCCATTACATTCCATTACATTCCATTACATTCCATTACATTCCATTACATTCCATTACATTCCCTTACATTCCATTACATTCATTTTCGTTCCATTACATTGCATTATATTCCATTACATTCCATTACGTTCCATTTCATTCCACTACATTCCATTACGTTCAATTACGTTCCATTAGATTCCATTCGGTTCCATTACGTTCCATTACATTCCATTCCATTCCACTACATTCCACTACATTCCATTACATTCCGGTACCATACATTACCATACATTACCATGCATTACCTGACATTACCATACATTTCATGACATTACCATGCATTACCATACATTACCATACATGACCATACATTACCATACATGACCATACATTACATGACATTACATGACATTACATGACATTACATGACATTACATGACATTACATGACATTACATGACATTACATGACATTACCACACATGACCATACATTACCATACATGAGCATACATTACCATACATTACCATACAAGACCATACATGACCATACATTACATGACATTACCATATATTACCATACATTACTATACATACATTACATTACATTACAGTACGGTATGGTACATTACATCACATCACATCACATCACATCATATCACATTACATGCATACATACATACATACCATTGCATTCCATTACATTCCATTACATTCCATTACATTCCGTTACATTCCATTACATTCCATTACATTCCGTTACGTTCCATTACATTCCATTACATTCCCTTACATTCCATTACATTCCCTTACATTCCATTACATTCATTTTCGTTCCATTACATTGCATTATATTCCATTACATTCCATTACGTTCCATTTCATTCCACTACATTCCATTACGTTCAATTACGTTCCATTAGATTCCATTCGGTTCCATTACGTTCCATTACATTCCATTCCATTCCACTACATTCCACTACATTCCATTACATTCCGGTACCATACATTACCATACATTACCATGCATTACCTGACATTACCATACATTTCATGACATTACCATGCATTACCATACATTACCATACATGACCATACATTACATGACACTACCATACATTACCATACAAGACCGTGCATGACCATACATGGCCATACATGACCATACATTGCCATACAGTACCATACATTACCATACATTACCATACATTACCATACATTACCAAACATTACCATACATACATTACATTACATTGCATTACATGACACAACATTATATTACATTACAATACATTACCATACCATACCTGACCATACCATACTATACCATCCTACATACATACATGCATACCTGCATACATGCATACATGCATACATACATGCATAAATACATACATACATACATATATACATACACACCGACATACATACATTCATACATACATGCATGCATGCATGCATACATACACATACACATACACGTACACATACACTTACATACACATACCCATACACATACACATACACACACACGCACATACATACATACATACACACATACATCCATACATTCCATCACATTGCATTACATTCCATTACATTCCATTACATGTCATTACCATACATTACCATACATTACATGACATTACTTTACATTACATCACCATACATTGCTTTATCATTCCATACCAGACCATACCATACAATACCAGACCAACCTACATACATACACATATACATGCACATGTACATGTACATATTGCCTCGTCCCAGGTCCTAGAACTGCGCAAACCCGAATTAGTTTGGTAAAACTTGTCAATTCCGTGACGCAATTTCGTCGCGGAATTGACAAGTTTCATTAGGGTCATCATCATCATCATCATCATCATCATCATCATCATCATCTTCACATCATCATCATCATCAGCATTAGTATCATCATCATCTGCAAGTTCACATGAACGTTAACATCCCACCCCATCCCCCCCACCCCACCCCGCGTGTGCGTACAATCAACTGCTTCTGCAAGTTCACATGAACGCTAACATCCCACCCTGCGTGTGCGTAGCATCAACTGCTTCTGTAAGTTCACATGAACGTTAACATCCCACCCCATCCCCCCACCCCATCGTATGTAGTTCCAGGACCTGGGGCGAGCTACATATACATACACAAACATACACATACATTCACATACATACACATACATACACATACATACACATACATATACATACATACAGAAACATACACATACATACACATACATACACATACATACACAAACATACACATACATACACATACATACACATACATACACAAACATACACAAGCATACACAAACATACACATACATACACATACATACACATACATACACATACATTCACATACATACACATACATACACATACATACACATACATATACATACATACAGAAACATACACATACATACACATACATACACATACATACACATACATACACATACATACACATACATAGATGCATACATACATGCATACATACATGCATACATACATGCATACATACATACACATGCATACATACATACACATGCATACATACATACATTACATTACATTACATTACAGTACATTACATTACATTACATACATACATGCATACATACATACATAACCCAGCCCATTTACAATGTTTAGGCAATGGCGCATCTGAAACACACATGTTTTTATATGATTATAAAATATTATCGTTAATTATGTGACTTATGTGATTATGTGTCGAACAGTATCAATATTTACTTTTCAGAAACATAGGTGTATCCGTGTTTTCGCGCCTAGCATCGGACGTCATTTGTGCATCATATCATCTATTCAATGAGAAGCGTTGACCCGAGCAAGCCTTTCTGGTCGAATGTGGTCCTTACATGTCTCACCGTTCCGAGAAAAAGGTCTTGGGTTTTCTTGTAGCAAGTGTGGGAAATAGACTGCTAGACCTTAACCCCAATACAGTGCACTATAGACATGATGGGTTGCTAACCTCTCGGTCATGTTTTCTGAATTTCCAGCCATTATAATACCGACCGTCTCAATAAGATCCATTCACTGATGACTACTCAAGTGGCTAGCTACCTCATATATTCCCATTTGTGTTACTCACGTTTTAGTCTCGTAGCTTAGTTCCCCCATTTGTGATTGGTGAAATACCCTTAGCTTAAGATTAAATCAGTCAAAGCACCGGTTCTGCTGATTGGATCATTGGATCTACAGTAATGCACTGATCATTTGTTTCTGTTCAGATAAACTTACGTCACAATAATGATTGCTACTTCAATGTAACACCAATGTTCTCTGTGTCAAACCGGGGGTTATCCCAAATTTCCCCAGGATACACTCACTTCAGCGAGAAGAGCATTCACTCAGGCAGCAGCACCTAGTGACTGCACTTACGGACATTCGAAGGCTGGAATGCTAACCCAGGTGACACCCCGGGGTCAGCCACTAGTTGATTCATTTCCAGGGGGAAAATTCAACCAGGGTAAAATTTGCCAGGAAGTACGCCACACACACATATATATATAGTTTGTGGATGGCACCTTCAGAGCCAATGGTCTTTGGCGTGTGCGTGTGTGTGCGTGTGTGTATATGAAGCCGTTACTATGATACTTGACACACATACACACACATATATATATGTATATATATATATATATTTATTATGCATGACGGCATATTGTGGTTACTGCCTTTTCCATCCTTTACCTTAGGCAAGACATCCTTCAGACTTCGACCCTTTGATCCGGAATCACATTTTCTCGAGGCCACGGGCCACGGGTGAAGTTTTGGGATGTTCATCCCTTCATTAAGCAGATAAATGTGATGATATATGAAGGTTTCCATAAATGAGGGTACCCCAATAGCTGGATGGTTACCACTATTTTAGGAAACCTCTATATGATGAAAATGTGGAATGATGGGATTGATTAAACCTTGTTTAATCCCATCCTCCTAAATATTGACCTAAGCACGACCCCGGTGAAATGTGGTGGATTGTTCCCCACCTGCCAGGTGAGGGTTGTTAGATTTCATCAGAGTTGTTCTTCTCCTCCTCCTCCTCGACTAGCTCTCCTCCTCCTCCTCGTCCTCCTCCGCCTCCTCGTCCGCCTCCTCCCCCTCCTCTTCCACTTCCACGTCCACTGTTACCTTGCCAACTCTTCGCCAAGCTCTTCGCCAAGGTCCGAGCTCAGTGTGCACCGCTGGACCTCAACCTGGGACCTTCCCAGCTCAGTGTGCACCGCTGCCCAGCTCAGTGTGCACCGCTGGACCTCAACCTGGGACCTTCCCAGCTCAGTGTGCACCGCTGGACCTCAACCTGGGACCTGCCCAGCTCAGTGTGCACCGCTGGACCTCAACCTGGGACCTTGCCAGCTCAGTGTGCACCGCTGCACCTCAACCTGGGACCTTCCAAGCTCAGTGTGCACCGCGACCTCAACCTGGCACCCTCCGAGCTCAGTACCGCTGGACCTCAACCTGGGACCCTCCGAGCTCAGTGAGCACAGCTGGATCTCAACGGCCAGATAGAATGCCAGAAGATATGCCAGATAGAGTGCCAGAAGATATGCCAGATAGAATGCCAGAAGATATGCCAGATAAAATGCCAGAAGATATGCCAGAAGATATGCCAGATAGAATGTCAGAAGATATGCCAGATAGAGTGCCAGAAGATATGACAGACAGAACATATTGCAGAAGATATGCCAGGTAGAATGCCAGAAGATATGCCAGATAGAATGCCAGAAGATATGCAAGATAAAATGCCAGAAGATATGTCAGATAGAATGCCAGAAGATTTGTCAGTAACAAAACGTATAGATGTCATTGTGGGGATAACTCAAAGTAAAGTAATTTTGTTTTTTTCCCCCCGCCCTAGTCAAGCCTGTTGATTGGGGTACGGTCCGGTACGGTATTACAGTATTACATAAATAATTACTATGGATCCATGATTGGGAGGTATGACAAACTGGTAGGGAGAGTTCAGGTTGCTGGGCACTGCAAAATGCACCAAGAAACAGGTTTCAAGCCTGTTTCAGGAACACAAGTGAAGGTGCAGTTCTTTCCCAAACAGGTTCATAACGTAAGAATCATCAACACCCCCAGAAAAAGGCCAGGTTGCCACAGGCAATCTGGAGTGCGAACAGAAATTCAACTGATGTATGTTGACATGTTCATATATCTATCTACCTATCTATCTAATCTAATCCGATCCAATCAGATCCGATCCGATCCAATCTATGTATTGATCTACTTGTCTATCTATCTATCTATCTATCTTTTCTTATCTTATTTTATTTTATCTTATCGTATTTTATGTTATCTTACCTTATGTTATCTTATCTTATATTATGTTATCTTATCTTATCCTATTCTATCTTTCTATATCTATCTATCTATCCATCTATCTATCTATCTCTCTCTCTCTTTCTATCTCTCTCTCTCTCTTTCTATCTCTCTCTCTTTCTATCTCTCTCTCTTTCTATCTCTCTCTCTCCCTCTTTCTATCTATCTATCTATCTATCTATCTATCTTTTCTTATCTTATTTTATTTTATCTTATCGTATTTTATGTTATTTTACCTTATGTTATCTTATCTTATATTATGTTATCT